TATTTTATCGCATTCGACATCCTCTCCCTCGAGTTTGGCAAAAGCGCAACCCTCAGCCGACGTAAATTCAATCAGCGGTACGCCTTCAATGACGGTTCGCCAGGGAACAGCAGTCGCAGCAGAACTGATAGAAAAACCATCAAAATGATCACTCAAGTGGGTGTTCACCTGAAATTGATTCTTTCTGCTATTATTTCTTGCAACACCCGAGAATCTCCAATGTCACGCGCCTCCTCGAAATAAGAGTGGTAAATCTGCAGCGCCAGCTAATACGTGATAAACCGCTGGCAACTACACCTTAGTAAGTAAAGCGCTCATTTCTTCCACTGTGAGGCGATCCTGCAGACTCAACACTGCACGATGGGCCAGAGTGGAATCGGTCACGCGGCGGTCCCACGAAAAGCTTATTCCTACCATCACAAAAGACAATGCGATATACACTACTTCAATTTCTATAGATTCTATAGAAACCTATTGTCTATAGGCATCTAAGCACTGTATGGACGTATTTTCTACTACACAACGGTTCATAGTTTTCCAAAGAAATGAATATGCTGTATAACACTCGAGACTCCTCTCAAGTCTACATGCTGGAAACTCAGAAATAAATTCGCTCACTTCATCAGCACTTGCCCTCCAAGCCATGTAAAATCGTCTACATCGACCAACTCACCGAGAGTCCGTGCTGTAGCAAGACTAGCATTGAACTTGGGATCTTCCAAGTGGCTTCGATCAATACCATATACATCAGAGAGGTACTCTATCACCTGCGGCGACTTTACATGATTTCCTCATAAAACTCACACTACTAGTTGGCCCTTCGGTGGGGTCCTCATAGGCTGATCATATACACTATACGGCTCATGAACTAACTTCACATTAGCAGAGCCTTTCACTTTATCCAACGCTCTCGTGAGATGCACATGACCGACTGAAGCAGCAGTACACAGCTTCACAACGGTCACTATACAAAGAGTCTTACTATAGCACCATGGACACACGAAGTCAGCAGTTACCGAGATGATGAGCTGACGAGACATAGGCAACCGATTTAAACTCCCTCAACGATTCGGCCCAAGCAAGAGTGTCACTGCCCCCTGTACAGTGCGAGTCGGACTCGACTAGTATACGACTGTGCTCAGTTGATCATTAATGTTTCAAAGTCCGATGCCACCAATTAGACCATAGCAAACTGTATGATCGCAATGCTTCTAATAGCGATCGAGTAAATCAACCGCCACCCTCAGTAGGTCGAGCGATACCCCCATGAAACCAATACGGGTAGTCCTGCTCTATTGGGCGCCTTGGGTGCATAGTTTAGTATCCCCATAAATAGCAACAACACGACGTACAAAGGAGTGTATGAGTAACTCAGTAGAAAATCGTCAAAGTACGATGATGGGGTTTGATCTCATCCCTGACAGCCTCCCCTTCCTGCCACAACAACCAGTCCAATGTCACATCGAAAATATCTTCCCGTTGGGCAATCTCGACAATCTCATGGCACGCGTGCACAGTACCTGTCAGGAGCTTCTATTTTGACTGATGAAAATTGCAGGGCAAGCATATACCGCAACAACGGGGAATTTCGCGTTGTGCGTGCGTGCGTGATGAGCTATTCATACTTAACAACCAATTTTCACCATCATATCTCCACAACGATCCTTACTTCCCCACTAGACAATCAAGAGATGCGGACTAAGCGAACTCCGCCCCTTCGTCGCGAAGACCTAGTCTACAAAAAGATATTCAATTTACACGGGTATTTTCAGAGGAATTACAATCAAGTTTCACCCGTTTCACGTGAAAAACCCCGAAAATTTGCGCTATGCAGTAGTCGTGGAATATGTTTTTCACTAGAGTTTTTCTTATC